GTCCTTATTATATCTTTTACTAAAGTTTAATAATCTCCCCTTATATAATAAGCTACTAGTATACTTTTTAATTAGTTTAGTACTTATATAAGCTTATATTAATTTTTATATTTTTTTAAGAAGTTAATAATATTATCTTTAGAAAAAACTATAGTACTACTTTAGCTAAAAAGGGGTATCTTAAAAAAGTTTAAGTTCTCTCTTTAGTTAAGGACTATATTTACTATTACTTATAGGACCTTAGGCTAAATCTAGGCAGTAAAAGTAGTAAGGAGGGTATTTATAAAAATATTAAGTTCTTAAGAGATAGAGAGAGGTTTTTATTTCTAATTAAGTACTATAAGTAGAGGATTAAAAGTGTTACTACTCTCTTTATCCTTAAAAGGATTAATCCCCTTTAGCTCTTAGTACTTAGTAAAGGCTAGCCTTCTTACTAAAGTAGTATTTAGGGTTAAGCCTAAGGTATACTTAAGAGCAGCCTCTTAAGAAAAAGTAATATAGTTATTACTTATTATATTAGTTAGTAGTTATTTAGTATATAACTTATTAATTAAGTTAAAGATTTTAATAATTATATACTAATTTAAACTTTTTAAGATCCTCTTTAAGAGTACTAAGATAACTTATCTTATTATCTAAACTAAGGCTATACTTTTAATTAGTAGAATTTATATAATTATCCTTAACCTTAGCTAAACTTATTAACTAACTTTTAATAAAAAAAGTCTTTTAATTTATTATAATTTCTTTATAAAGTTATAATAGTTATTTAAATTAGTATACTTATAAGAAGTCTTAAGGCTAATAGATTTATATCTTTAGATTAGGTAATTCTTAAGGCGCTATCTTATATTAATTAACTATAAGTAGCTAATTATAATAGCCTACCTTACTTATAAGGGCCTTTAAGAGCTCTATTTAGCTTCTTTAGTATTTCTATAGTCTATCTTAGTTATTATTATAAATTAGTAACCTTTAAAGTTTAAACTTATTATCTTAGTCTTATAATTAGGTAATTTCTATTATTTAAGTTACTAATTTATTACTTTATTATCTTATTATCTTTTTAAGGTTTTTCTTATTCCCTTAATTAGTTACTTCTTATAATCCTATTATCTTATTATTATTACTTTTTATAATTACTTACTTAGTGTACTTAACTAGATATCTCTTTAATTAGTTTAAACCTATAGTTAATATTCTAGAAAAAGAGACTATTAAAAGCGTATAAGGTATAAAGGACTCTTATAGTGTAGTAACTATATAGAACACTATAACTACTAAAAGTAACATAAGATTCCTTACTAATTAGTATATAAATTATATTAATTTATCTAGAATTAATATTAATTATAAGTATTAAACTATAAGATTAAGTATAATTATACCTTAATTAGGTAGGTAATTACTCTTAATTATCTTATATTATTATAATTAAAGGTAAATTATAAGGAGGCTCTAGTTTAATTAGAAGGTAGGTATAAGTATAAAAGATAGATTATATGTATCTATCTCTAAATCTATTAACGCTAGCTTATATCTCTATACTTAATTAGGATTAGGATCTTTTAATTAGCCTGTATACTATCTTGCTCTAGGCTAATTGCCCTACCCTGCTCTAATATCTAGTTTTATTTAAGTAGATATTTCTATTTTTAGTACCCTAGAGTAAATCTAGTTACTGTTTCTATATATCTACTTATTATACTTCTTAGAGATAGAGTACTAGAGAGTAAATCTCTATAGGTCTATATCTAGAAGTAAAGGTTATATTAGATATCTTATATTTATATAGTAGTGTTACTTTAAAGTTATAAATAACGTTAAATTTAAGGTTAGATTTAAGGTTAAATTTAAGGTTATAATTATATAAGCTTTTATATCTAAGTAATACTAGTTCTAAATTATATATTAAGAGGAAACTATTATAGAATTATATAGTGAATTTACTACGTAATATACCTATAGGTCTAGTAGATCTATAAGGAAATTATTATAAAACCCTTAGGGGATTTTATAGTAAATTAACTATTATTATTCTAGGTATTATTAGTGTTAATCTATACTACTAATATCTAAGTAATAGTTAATATTATAATAAAAACCTTTAGTCCTAAAGATATTAAACTAGCTAATTAAATTTACTTTATAGTCTAATTTAATTATAAATTTAATTATATAAAGTATTAGGTATTAAGCTTTAATACCTTATATAAAGCCTATAAATATTAAAGTAGAATTAAAAATAAGTAAAATATATATTATAGTATTTATAATACTATATACACTATATACACTTTATAACTATAAAACTACTCTAAATCCTACTATATATTATAAAAGATAAGAATATTACTATATAAAGAATAGTACTTTTAAGAAAAGCACTATTCTCCTAAGGAGTTACTTTAAGAATAAAACACACTAAGTAAACTATATAAGTAAGGTGTTTTATAATAATAACCTAACTAAATAATAACCTAAATAATAAACCTAATTAATAACCTAGAATCTAGAAGAAATCTCTAGAAACCTAAGATAACCTTAGGAAAATAAGTATAAATAATCCCCTTTTCTCCCTCTATCTAGACTAGAAGTCTTAGTTCTATAAGTAGAAATATAATATATTATATTATAACTATATTCCTTATCTCTTATTTTTTATCTTATCTTATATCTTATTTTTTATCTTTATATTACCTCTTATTACCTCTAAAATAAAGCACTTTACTTTTTTATATATACTTTACTAATAGTAATACCTCTTATTAGTTAATTTATTTTCCTTTACTATATCTTTACTATATATTAAGCTATTATTATTATTACTTTTAGTTAGCCTAAATACGCTATAGCCTGCTTAGGTATAATATAATAAGTTATTAGTAAAGGCTTTAACCCTCTTTAGTACTATTTTATAAAAAGGCTACTAGTTAAGATTATTCTAATTACTTATTATTTTACTAGTTACTATATATAAATCTAGCTAAGCACTAAGTAAGCTACTTTATAATATAGTAATAAGGTTATTAAACTAAATTAATAGCTATTAATAGTTAGGTAAATTAACTTATACTAATTTACTATAGGCTATATTCTATTTATTAAGCTATATAGTAAGATTATTTTTAGTAGTTAAGGTCTTTACTAGGCTTTTACTAACACTTTACTATACTTATTATAGGTATACTTTATACGCTCTTCTTAGTTATTTTTACTATTATACTAAGCTTATTAAGCTATTTAGCTAGTAAATTTATAGATTTATAAAATCTTTCTTAAAGATTTATAAATATAGTAGATTTAATTATATTAGCTATATCTTTAATACCTTTTTACTAAGTAGTTTACTTATATACTCTTTTATAATACTAGCTTATTTAGCTATTTAAGTATATAAGATTATATAAGTTAAGATTATTTAGTATTATTATATATTTAATGTTATATATAAGTCTATTAGGTATAGCTATAATAGCCTTACTTTTTACTATATAAAGCTATATAGTTACTTACTAAGATATCTTAGTAATTACTATAGCTATAGTAACCTTTTAGTAAGTAGTAAGCTTATTTTTAGTTAAGGTATATATATATTATACTATAAGTAGCTTTATTAGTTTTTCTAAATATATTTTAAAAATTAATTAGTCTACTACTTTAACCTCTAGGTTAATATACTCCTAGAGATTATAATACTTTACTTTTACTTAGATAATATTAAGCTATATAAACTAATTACTATATAATTATAAGATAGTTACTTTATTATTATTATTACTATTAATTATTATAATAGTATTTAATTAGTAAATAAGTATATTAGTTATTATAAATATATATATTAGACTATTAATTATTAAATTATAAGGGTTATAATAGTTAATTAATTAATTCTATTATATATTATATAACTATAGTAAAATCCTATAGAAATAGGGAAAACCCCCTATTTCTTAGTTAGGAAATCCCAGGCTAATCCTAGCGATATTATTAGTGAAGTTACCCCTAAAAGTGGGGCTAATTCACCGCCCATTCCCTGACAATTCGCCATAGGGCAGCCGTGCATTCGCCGGCTAATTCACGTGTAATTCCGCTACATTTGACAACAGTTGCCCTATAGCAAATCGCTAGGGAATAGGTAGTAAAACCGCCCCTCTTTAATAGCAATTTCACTAATCATATCGCTGGGATTAGCCCGGGATTTCCCAACCAAGGAATAAGGGGATTTCCCTGTTCCCACAGGATTTCACCATAGTCACACATGGAACAATTAATCAACCAACCATTACAATCCCTATCATTTAACAACCACAGAGCAATTAATTAACACAAGGTTATCGCTGCTAATTACGTGCTTTAAAAATAACAAGCATAAAGTTAGGGTGGCACTAGTAACAAAAAGTCCCTCCTGCCCACTAATCACTACTCATGAGCAGCGGCCGTTCACACCCTTTGCGGCAATTGCCCCACCTTGATCCGGGCGCGTGCGACCATTTCGCCCACTTTGACAGTAGCTAATCTAGAGACAACCTCTATCTATTAGAAGGCTTACTATGCTTTTATGAAGGAACATGAAACCTTGCTTCTCTAGCTATCATGTTTGTTACTTTCTATAACTAGGCTAGAAGCGCGTCGATATTGGGCGTGATGTCAACTAACAGGAACTCCGTCCGGTTCCCCCCCAGCGAGCCGGCGACCTTAGCGTCTACAAAGTAATCTGAAACGGCGTAGACGCTGTCGCCGATCGGCACCGTTGCGGTGCTGAACCCGCCCTCGGCTTGCAAACCGGGCACCGTTCCCAGGACCTCTGCCTCATTCCAAGTACCATCCCTCGAACGCAGCACCACCGTCCCAGTAGCTTCGTCCGTAGCAAGCAAAACATTACCGCCGTAGCGCCTAGGGATAGAAACGCCCATGAGGGTCTTACCGATAAGGTCTGCGCCGGACAGCGGGATGCGGACGGGTGTGCCCTTAGCGGCTGACATGTTAAAGCGGTACAGTTGCCCGTCCTCGCTGTCTGTGGTCAGCAGCGACTGACCGTCTGGTGAGACAGCAAGGCCCCCAATACCTCGGACCGTGTGGTTGGCAGGCGTGCGTAGGTACCAGGGGGCAGCGTCTTTACCATCAGCGCTAACGCGGATAATGCTACTAGGGTAAGTACCAAGGACAAAGGTAGTCCCATCAGTGGCGGTCTGGGTGTCCTGGTAGCCGCCATATAAGCCGCCGATAATGGCGGTGAGGTTGCTCCGCCAGAGCTCCTGGCGGGTGTTAAGATCGTACTTAACGAGGAAGTTGTCGCCTTCGATATTCTGGCCGTTTGTTATAAACGCGTCGCCAGCGTTGATGATGATGGAGAGGCGGTCTAGGGGGTCACGGCGGACACCGCTGGCATGTAGGAGCGGGTTAAAGCTTAGGCCCTGTAGCGTAATAGTCTCAACAATTGAGTTTATAGAGGGGTCCCAGACAGCCACAGTAGAGTTGTACAGGACACTAAGAAGAGTATTAGCTTAAGTATCTTAGCAAACAATATTAGGGACCAGTGCTGTACCTAAGATATGCGACACAGCGCTTTGTATCGTAGTCGCCATTCGCAGGATATAGTTGATAAGCTGAGATGGTCTTGTTCCCTGAGACTTGGCTGCAGTTCGTGTCAGCAGCAGACTTAGTCGGGCTGGCTAGACTGGCTGGTAATGCCAGCAGGACTAAGAAGGCAACAAGCATGTTAATCATCATAAAGTAATTTAGACAGAAAGTATAATTAGCTTAAAACTCTAAGATGAATAGGCTGCCTTTTGCTAATAGTAGGAAGCATGTATTTATAGGCACAGTTTTGTACTCTTGCCGCTGTGTTAAACTACATAGTATAGTTACACTGTAGACGCGAGTCATATACAAATCCTCTAGGTATATCACTAGATTAATTCATAAAGTCAATTATAGTACTCTGCAGCTGCCTAACTAAATACAGTAGGTATCACTACTACTCCTACTACTGTGATAGTTTATAACCTACAGATAAAGCTTAAACTTTACTACACACCGCTAGAGCTGTAAGCGTTAACCTACCTCCCCCACTTCTAGGCTAACCCTACATTTAGGGTATTTGATAGGCAATTAATGTACAGGCGCTGCTATTGTCAAATTGTAGGGATTGTAATAGCTGATTAATTGATTGTGTTGTTGTATGTGGAACTATAGTGAAATCCTATAGGAACAGGGGAAAACCCCCTCTTTCTTGGTCAGGAAATCCCGGGCCAATCCTGGCTATATAATTAGTAGAATCACCTGTAGAGTGGGGCTATATCACTGCCTATTCCCTAACGATTTACTATAGGGCAACTGTTATTAAATCAGTTTCTTATAGGCTTAACTAGTCGGCATTATACCAGGCCCTCAAGAGCTGCTATAAGGATGAGCCCATTTATATTAATAGTTCCAGCCACTTTAGATTATGAGATATTGCGTAACACATACAACTGTAACTATAATCACCAGGCCGGCTTCTTATTGCTTGCGGCAAAGTAACACCCGAGGGGAAGATAATGGTGCACCATGAAGACCTACGTCTGGAATCTTCAGTCAGCCTGCCAGCTACTAGTAATAACTAGTAGTTAGTCTCTGTCTTTTGCTCCATCATCTTTCATTATTAGGTTCGCCACAAATACGGAAGCTCTGCGATTTCCAGTCTATGTACGGTGGAGCGTGTCAAACGTAGTGATCCAGAGTGCCAAGACTGGAAGTGGGGAATCTAGGAGGAAAGACTTCAAGATACCTCGTCTTATTGGACTCTTAAGGGACTCTAGAGTGCCAACAACCTATAGGCTCAATCTCTTAGGGGAGACGAGCTCAATGTCTCAGGGGAGACAAGCACACTTTAGGTATAGTAGGTGGGGAGAAGTATAGTAAGCATCAGGCTCATATGTACTTCCTTGTACTGATACTTAAATTGTCTTGGCATTCTGGATTACTACTTTTGACATACTCCTCCGTACTGCCATCTAGTCATCTACTATGTGATGATTACATAGTAGCTTCGCACCTCGCGCTAACTTAATTTCTCTCTGTTAAATGGTCGATCAAGAGCCCGTACTGGGTCCTGCTGTCAACCACAAAGTGGCTGCTAATGCAAGGCGAAAGAGACAGACAGGCAGTCGAGCATCCGGATTAATGGATAATCATCCGATCCTTCAACTGTTGGGCACGTACTTTTGCCTTCTTCATCCTTGTCAATAAAGCCCAACACATCATCTACCATGTGCGCCAGGCTTTCTTTGCCCCTCATGAGGTATTACCATCGCAGCAACTGTGTAACCATGTACAATAGCCACGCATGCCGCGCCCCTACTCAAGGCGTCCGACCGTCATCCCCAGCCAGTTCCCCCAACAACAATCAGGTATGGAAAACCAACCAGCCAATCAGCCAGCCAGTCAGCTAGGGTCCTTCCCAAAGCCTGCAACGTTGCCGCACTATCCTGTGGGCGGGGGTTACGCCGCACCAAGCTCGCTCGTTCTGCGATGCTCAGACCAAGGTGGTTTATGCCTTCACATCAGACCATTCTCGTTGCTCAGCCGCTTGTCCAAGAGCCGTGTCTCTGGCACGTCCAGCTTCTTAGTTGACCCAGTGCTGTCTGTCCAGGTACCAACCCGAGACATTTTGTCCTGGACGCTTGGCCTAACAGACGACGTAGCTCAAACCAATACCAGCCCTAGCAGGCTGTTCCCCAGTATCAAGGTATTCACTCTACTAGGGCTCGCCACAAGACACATGAGCTCAAACATGGCGAGCGGAAAACGTTTGTGCATTGTTACTTTATTGTATTACTATCTGTGACCTGTACCGCGTGTCTGGACATTGACCAACTCTTTTGTCGTTTGTCCCTGTAACTCATATAAAAAAGCTTGGCCAGCTTGACGTGTTGCTATCCTCGATTTTCGATACGTCCAAGTTTTTGTCTGGCATAGCGGGTGATGATGATGTGTACTACACACATGGTGAAAGGGTTGTAATCGTTGTGGCCGGCCTGCTCAGCAGGGTTACTGCTGGCATCCTCCAAGAAGAAGTCTGCTGCCATGTTGGCTGCGCACCAGAGGTTCATCATGCCCTTTGCTTCGGACTGATGCGCGGCTTCGGACCGACCGATGGAGGGCCCTCGCGGGTCGTCCGGGTCGACGTTGTCAAGGATAGTATCAATTGCCATGCGTAACTCGTAGCGTCTGCGCATTGCTTCCATCTTCTTGCGTCTCTCGGACTGCATCTCGAAAGCCTTGCGGAAAAGTCGAGCGTGGGTCGCGTGCGCGTTGGCGAGTGCCGAAGCGATAAAGCACGTCTCCCACTTACGTAACTCGTCTTGGTGAAGCTGGCGGATGACTGCTGTCGAATTGCAGAAAATGTCGGCTGAATTGAGGAGCCGCTGAAGGGAGGGTCGTCGGGCGCGGAGTTCGAGAGTGTACCGAGCGAGAGAGGCCAGGCGATCCTTCTCGACCTTGCCAAGGACGGCAATGCCCTTGATCTCGTCGGGTGGTAGAGCAGCGGCGGTAGAGGTCAAGAGGCACTGGAGGAAGTGTTGGCGGTAGGCATCAAGCGTTTCGGAGGTGACGTCTGCTGGCACATATTCCGAGGCTCCCAAGACGTAGTACGCAGACAATATTAAAAAAAGCCCACAGTCAACGGCGTTCTGCTGACGAGCGCACTGGCGGTGTGTCATTAGGTGACTCCCGCACGAGACTGCAAAGGCCGAGCGAGGACACTTACCTGGCTCGCATCCAGGTCGACTTGGATCCCATCAGACACACCCAAGCGACGGAGGAATGGCAACACGACAGCATCGGCGACTTGGTCGACGGGCAGAAGGCCCGGGAACGAATCAAAGAGCCGCACCTTGTTGTCCTGGCGGGAGAAGACGAACAAGACCCAGTGGATGTTGCGGCAGATGGGCATGAGGATCCTGTCGTAGTTTGCTCGGGCGATTGCATCAAAGACACGATCGGGTATGTTCTGCGAGCGAAGGACCAGACTGCTGATTGCCAGGACCTGACCATTCATCAGGGACAAACGGTGGAGGAGGGTATCAATGATGGTATCGTTGAGCATCTGTCCCGGCGACAAGCGGTATAGGTTCTCTGAGATGTCTGCGAGGGCGGGACGATGCTTGAGCACCGACGGCGGCCGAGGAACGTATGGGATGATGGAGGTGGGGTTCATCTCCTCGGATGTATCAGAAATAGGGTTGACTTCTCGTCCGCATTGATCGGATACGATCACGCAACTAGAAGACGGGCCGGCTGGTCTGGTGGGCGAAGGAGAAGGAGGTCCATCTCTAACAACAGGTGAAAGTCGTGGTGGCGACAGAGAAGCAGGCCTAGCCTTCACGGGGACGAAAGCAGCTCCATCTCCGACCACAGGTGAAGAAGGTAGTGGTGGAGTGAGGTCGATGCTGATGTTTGTGATGATGCTCCCACCGCCAAGGCTGTCACTGTCACTGGTGACATGGCAGTCCATGGGCCCAATGTCAGTGAGTCGACGACGTTTGGGGGCGGGCGGCTCCTGTGCACCCGGGCATGCTTTGCGAAGACGCTGCGGGGCTTGAAGACGGGATGGCCCGGTCCAAGGATCCGACTCGGGCATTTGGAAACCGTCGTGTTCGTCGTCATCAGAGTAGTGCATCGATGGGGGCGCGTCCAAGTCAGACTCGCCAAGGTCATGATTGCCATCAAATTGGAAGGGAAACTCGGAGGATACCGGAGAAGCAGCCAAAGTCTGGCGTTCCTTTCTGGGTCGCTCTGGTGAAGCAGCAGGCAGGTCGGCACGCGGGGTTGTGGGAGCTTGCGTTTGCTCCACCTGAGTTGAATTACCGGTAACAGGTTGTACGGTCGGACGGCGTTGCACACCTTCCCCCCTCGTCGTATCGTCACCGGCAGCTGGCCTACGGGTCCTGGTAGAGGGGGCTTCGGCAGGGAGGGGTCGACGACGTTTGTCTCGTGTGGGTTTGCCGCCGGTACCAGAATCGGATTCGTGTTCGTTGGAGCTGTCGGGGGAGTCATTGGCCTCGCCGCCGGCATTGCTACTCGAGTCGCCTTCGGGGGACGGCGTGGGATCCTCGGCGGGACGATGTTTCCGCTCGACAAGGGCAGGCTTGACTAAGAAGGGCAAACATGTTAGCGACAAAGTAGAGTGGGCGTGCGGATGACGTACAGTGACCGACAGCTTCCTTGAGCATACTGATGGCGTTCTTTGTGGCTCGCGGACCCCAGCGACGAGTATTGTGTCGTGGCACGCTGTTGAACTGATCGACAAGGTCGGTGAGAAGAAGTTCGGGGCTCGCTTTGTGTAAGCTGTTGAGAAGATCGATGCACGCGCGAGAAGAGACGATCTTGTGAGAGAAGAGATCCAAGAGGAGACCGGGGGAGGCGTCCCAGCGATCGGCTAGTGAAGTCAGGCGACCGAGCAAGTCTGGAGTGATGGACTGAAGGACGGCCTTGTGCTCGCGGTCGAGGATTCGGCAGAGCAGCGGACGTTCGACTTTTTTGAGAGCCCAAACGATGAAGCTGGCGCCACCGGTGATTGACGAGTCTCTTGTCTCGGCAAAGTTGGCGTGCAGCTTGTCCCACAGTTGGTCAATGTGTTCTTCGATCTGAATGATGTCGATCTTGTTCAGCTCATCCAGCGTTTCGAGAAGGGGCGCGCTCTGTAGCATGCCCGAGTCATCGTCGAGGGGGATGTCTATTCCGCTGTGCGCCATTGCATTGATTGACGCCGGGTTCGCGATGTTGACTGCTGTGCATTGTCGCCCACATGATGAGATGTCGAGGTAGACAAGCGGGTGCAATGGAAGAAGGTAGAAGAAGGAAAAGAAGAAGGACGTAGAAGGCAGTGACCAAAGGTGTTGATCAATTGCAAAGCAAGTGCAGGAAGCAACAGAGGGCAGGTGTGAGTGCGGGTGGTAGTTAGGAAGAAGGAGCGCAGGAGCCAGTAGCCATGAGCTCCAAAACCTGCCGGCCCTCGGTTGAAATTGGAGTTTGGCTGACTCAGCCAAGCAGCCACCCACAGACCACCAGGTCTGGCAGATGGGGCGGAGCTCCAAAACCTGCCGGCCCACGGTTGAAATTGGAGCTAGCTTTTGGCGTGCACTCCACAGATGCAGGTCGGCGGGAACAGTGACGTTAGAGCAACCGCTCCTGGGCGACGGGGCCCAGCTTCACCATTGATTCATGCTAAAAAAAGAGAAAGCCAAAAAGGGAAAACAGCCCTGAGCATGACAGTCCAGGGTGATGGTGGACTGGTCGGCATCCTCGTCCTTGTCCTCCTCTTCCTCTACTTATAGCACTTCCTCCTCCTCCTCCAGCTCGCCCGCTCGCTCCACTAGCCTTTCAAACGTGGGCCAAACAACGTCCTACATTGCGGCCAGGCCGGGGTCTGCGCTAGGGGCGGGCTTTGGGGCACCTAGGGAGACTAGCTCTCGGACAAGGGCGATGTGCTTCTCGAGGCCGCCTTGCTTGCTGCTGCTGCTGCTGTTGTTGTTGTTGCTGCTGCTTCTGTTGCCGCCGGGATGGCAGTCATTGTTCCCCATGCTGAGGAGAGAGTGAATAAAGGGACTCGACATGTCGCCGCCCTCGCCGCCGCCGCCACTGCCCCTGCCTCCCTCCGCCTCTTGCTCCTCTGCACGCGCCTCGTCCTGACCCTCAATAGAGGGCCGGGCATGGTTCTTGTTGGCGCGCTTCTTCCGCTGTGGGCGACGAGCCGGGCCATAGTCGTCATCGTCATCGTCATCGTCCTCGTCCTCGTCCTCGTTCTCCTCCTGGTTGGGGCCTCGGTCTGCCGCCTTGCGCTTTCGCGCCGTTCGGGAGACGGGCGTTTGGGCAACGGGCTCGGGGAGGGCAGACGCAAAAGAAGCCGAACGGCGGGTTCCGGCATCGGAAACAGCCTGGGATGGCGCACGAGAGACGCCACGGGAGACGCTACGGGAAGGGCCTCGGGCGCGGGAGCTGAAGCCTGGTGCGAGATCTGATAGGGACCATCGATGTTAGCCTTGTTCCTAGTGACCGAGGCAAAGGGGGGTCATAGGTAATAAGAAGAATTGCACTAGCACGCGGTGGGGTGGACTACGCCTAAGATTGTGTATAGAATCTGCTGCCAAGTCTATGTACACTATATATGTTGTCCTGCAACATGGAGAAAGGGCTGCGGTTCAAGGAAATGTTTTCTTCACGTGTTTGATGACTTTCACCCGGAGCAAGACAAAACGGCATCTATCGACGGGGGTTACATAATGGCAACTTACGATTCAACGCGGCGGTGCACTCGGCAACGGTGGGATCGGGGGGCTCTTGCGGGGAGAGAGAAGGGCGGAGGAGCATCTGGGCTTGGACCTGGCGGACGATGGCGTCTGTTGGGATGGCGGGTTGGAGGTAGCGGAAGGCGGCGAGGTTCTGCAGGGCGGTCTCGGAGGAGCAAATGGTGGTGCCGAAGTCGAGGAGCATGTGGTAGTCGCGGAGGCCGAGGACCATAGCGGCGCGGGTGAAGCGCTGGCCGCGGCGCGGGGAGGCTCGGATCTCGTCGACGACTGGGTGGAAGACGGGGTGGAGTGTGGAGAAGAGGCGGGGCTCGGGAATGCGGGCGCGAAGCCAGAGAGGCCAGTCTCGGATGTCATGGGGTTGGCCGGAGTGGATGCCCGAGACGGCGATCTCGCAGGCGGCCTTCCAGAACTCGGCCCGTAGCCGGGGGAACAGGTCGGCGATTTGGGCACCAGGGCCTTCGGCCAAGTGGTTGAGGGCGCGGTCGAGGTCGGCAAGGAGCTCTCGGACTTGTGTCCTTCTCTCTGGTCTGACCGAGAGACCACCCTGATGCTGCTGGTGCTGTTGGTCCTGCTCGGGGGCAGGGGGCGGCGGCGGCGGCAGTGCGGCGGGGGAAGCGGAGGTGGGAGAGGATGCCATGGTGGTATTGTTGGAGCTGGTCAAGGACGGACAAATGAAGAAAAGACACGACAAAACAGCTCAAAAGAGACAGAATCAGACGGCAACGAGTGGGAGAGTCGGTATGGTGGGCGTTGACGAGGAAGACAAGGGGGGAGAAGGGCGCATTCAACATCCATCAACTCGAGCTCGGAATTCGAATGCGACGGTCCTGCCGTCCATGGCCTTGCCATATGATATGAGTGAGTCTGTTTGCAAGTCCGGCCCTGGTTCCTTGCTTCCCAGTTGCATTTCATACCGTGACGCCACATCCCCATGGCTGGATGTACATGTGCGTGTAGATGATGCCAGTTGCGCATTGCACCTACTGGATTCAAATCACATCGCCTGCATGCGTACTGCCCTTTCTCGTATTGTGATAATACATATGTAGGAGTTGCGTCCCGCAAAGGTTTTGTCTGTCTCTGCCCTCGGCTTTTCTTACTGGTATTGAAGCCTATGATACTGCAGCTATATCCTTGAATTGATTGATCGTTATGTTGTGTGTATCTCAAATGTTCGGAACATGTCTTAGAGGTACTGTTTGGGTGAAAGACCATAGGAAGATCGGCTTGACTATCTACAGTAGAGGATTGGGTGGTCCAGTGCGAAGAAATACGTATCTTCGAATGGGTTACCCGTGTGGGGCCGAGGGTGACCGGAGAGCATGTTTCTCCGGAGCCGGAGAAACCCTGCGCGGGGCCGGTGAAGGCATCAAGGCTTGGATTGGTTACGTAAGGTTTCCAGTTGTCACCAAGCACAAGCTACCGTTGCCTAGGGTGACAGCCTATTATGTCATCACATCAAACCACCACACGTCCATCACCACAACCATGATCAATCCAGTCTACACGCACGCAACACGAGCAAGCAGATCCGCTACAACCCCCCGGATTACAAGCACATGTGGGATTCCATCATTTCATGGGCACAATCTATCGAGGATTGCCTGCCGCAAGCACAAGACCACAACAGCCAAGACTCTTCCAGTCGCAAACGGAAACGCGAGTATCCACTGTCGCCAGAATCACTAACCTCTCCGCCGGGCAGGCTCGACGCTCCGCTCATGGTCCCCGGCGACACGACAACCTCTCCCAAAAAACACAAAGGAGCCAGCTCCGCTCGCGACAGTATCGACGGCAATGACACGGAACTCTTCTTCCCTCGCGACGTCGATCTGGACCAAACCCCGACGAGGCACTCCAACGCCGCTCTGTATACAAGCTTCCGGCCCAGAGCCTCTCGTTCAGCCTCGAGATCCCCCACGAAATCGCGATCAACCAGTGGCTTTTCAGACCGCCAGTCGAACGCCTCTTCCTCTGCCCGGCGCAAGTTCATAGAGCTCCCTTTAAAGGAAGAAGGCATCGTCAAGCGCGAGCTTTCAGACGCATTAACCGATCAAGATGCGCCGGCCGCCATACGGAGCATGCTTCAAAAGATCCGGTCGCTCGAGCGATGCCGCGGCGTCCTCTGCCAATCCCGCCGCGACGACCCATCTTTTGTGCCGCTAATGCGCGACGCCGACCTCGACGACGCCGTCTATGCCGTCTCAAAAGACCATCCAGCGAGTCGACTGACAGCAGCCAACGCGCAAGAGATAGTTGCAGACGCCAGGCGGTGCTTCCTCATGGACCACGACGAGTCGGTCTGGAACGCCGACGTCCACAACATGCTACTACGGATGGTTTTGCGTCCTGCCACTGGCCGACAGGCAAGGCTAGGGGAATTCAGCCTTTGGTGAGTCGATACCGCGAGACCCCGGTGCACTCACCATTTGTTTGCAAAGCTGACTCGTCTCCACCAGTACAACTGCACCCATCATCAAGGACTACCTACCCGAGGGCGAAGCCGAAAAGAAGGTCGACTTTTGCATGTATATCAACCCCTCGGCTGATCCTGATGTCAGTTTGCAGAGCAAGATTGTCGCCTTGCGACGGGCGTTGCCCGAAACAAGTCTCAATCACACCTCATACGTCGCGCTCTGTCCATATCCGATCTCGGTGAGCCTGGAGACTAAGAGGCCCGGGCACGATTTGAACGGCGCCATTTTGCAGATCGGCATATGGCAGGCGACGCACTGGAAGATGCTACGCCGGCTCCTCGGCTGGACCGCACCAGAACGACTGCGACGACAGGGTAGGGCGTCAGCCTCGCCGGAGGATATAGACGCACTCGTCAACGATGAGTTGGCAAAGCTGGGTGCCCTGCATGGAGTCCTCATCCAGGGCCACGACTGGTCCTACGTCGCGACGTCTCCAGAATCTCTCGACGGCCCGGCAAAAGCCCACTCGCTCAAGACGGTTCTCTGGTTGCAAAAGTCTTTCGGCCACACCAGCACAGAACTAGGTGTACACCAGGTCGCGGCATTCCTAGAGCAGCTGAATACGTGGTCGACCCAGGTCTACTGGCCGTGGTTCAAACGGTGTTTCCTCGAATGAGACAAGGGTGTGTGTAGGAAGTGGATCTGAAGGGCTCCATGCATCACGTATAGAGCAAGTTTTGTACACCGATTCGGAATTTAGATAGTCTTTTGTACGATTACGACGAAGTCTGGAATCGTGGTTGATACCCCCGAGGGCCAGCCTGCTGCAGTCAGGCTGTGCATGAGCCTTGGAGGTAGCCAGAGACGGCTTCAGATCGAAGACCATTCGCAGGGTCCCTCGGGGTTTGCGTTGGCGGGCGGGCCAGTGGTATCGCAAAAGCGGAATACGCGTGATGATGCCACGTGGATCTTTTCCACAGCCTGTATGCCTACTAAAGGCATATGGCCAGCTTACGTGCCTATGCAAGGCATATGACATGAATAAATGACAGAACGTCTTTTCGATTGCATAGGTTGTGTTGCCTATCCAAGACGTATGGCGAGCCAGCGGCCGGTGCTGGCTTGGTGGACAAAGAGAGAAAGAGAGAGGGGGGGGGGAGATAGAAAGGAGTTGAGCTTGTTGTGAAGGATGGCGGCTGATTGGCAGCCTAGAGTTACGAATTAAGGGCGGCAACCTGGCCAAGGAGACCGGAAGAGCCGAGGTATGCGGGTAGCAAGCCGGGCGTCGCGGGAGGAGGTATCCCGGTGATCTGAAGCTTGAGAAAGCTGACAGAGAAACAAGCAAAAGGCATAGTGTCGAATTTTTGGTGGGTGTGGAGGGGCTGCTATGACACAGATCAGATAATCCTATGGAAACACCATGTTAGGATGAAAAGACGGACAAGCAAGATTTGCTTTTTCTTACTATAACTATAGGTAGTAAAGATGAAAAGCCACTAGCTGACAACTCATAATGGATATCCTGATAACCTTTCCCTGCTAGGGCTCTCTGGTTCCCTACGACAGGATGCCCTGAAAGAATGCCACTACTCCTATCTGCTGCAGTTAGATGGGAGGAGCTTTACGCCTACGGGACGCACTACTAGTTTGGCTAGCTCTAAGTTAGGACTGGTGATGAGTACGGTGTGGGCAGTGCCACGAGAATGAGGAGGGAGTTTAGAGAGAAGGGAGAGAGAGGTGGAGAGGGAGAGAGGATGCACGGAGGGAATGGGGGGTAGGGATATTAGTATCTCTAGAAGAAGAGTAAGAGTGAGCGCAGGTGAATTCATGATTCCAGGTCGTGTCGATCTGGTTTGTGTGGTCGGTCTCGTTCAGACAAACCAGATGTTTTGGCACTGATTTATGGTTTATGTACCTACTGCTGTTGTTGTTGTTGTTGTAATATTTAACGCCGGGACGTTCCTGTAGAGGACAAAGGGCGCCTAGGGCAGCTAGCTAAGGAGATATACAAAAAGCACTCAGCCGGAACCGGCCTATTGTAATATTCCGACGCTAACCTCCTAGGAGGTCAAATTGGTTGTTGTTCCTTCCGTTAAAGTGCCTATGGGCTCGATCGGTGTGTTCCTTCCTTCTGGATATGCCTTCATAATGAGCCGCCAGCCCCCTGAGCCTTCTATTCCTGCCTATTAATCCAGGATATCCTCCACCTGGCCGGATTCCCTTGCTCCTTCCTAGATAGTACTAACAAGTATCCGATACTAATTGCTTCAGTTTCTACCTATTTAGGAGCTGCCCTAGGGAAAACCACAGAGGGAGAAAAACCTAGGGCAGCCAGTTGCAGCTGCACGGGGCTGCATAAAGTGTGTGTCGTTTGCATCAGCTTAAACTCTCCAGAAGTAGCCTTTGCCTAGTCGCTTGATGTGGTGTGCATCTGATTGATGTTGTGTAGTGTTAAAGAGGAAAGGGATCCTGAAGTGGTGGTGTTGAGGACAGATGCGTCGAGGGATTTTCGGAAATGTGCGCCCTGTTAGGGGTACAGGGCGCCTTCCATACGTTTTTCTAACAGAGGGGTCCGTGCACCCATGGGTTGAAAAATAAATAGAAGGGAGAGTTGTATGTACTTACTGCATGAGCCGAATACAGTTCATACAGTGCCATACAGTCCGTCTCATAACACTCACTGTCAGCTATTAGAAGACAAAAGAACACTGTACAGGACAGGCCAGACAATAGGTCTTCTGTTGCATAGGTGAATGCTGCATAAACATGCATGTGTATTTTTCAGGGGGCCAGAACAGCAAAAGCAGCATTCACTGATGCATGTAGATATCTTTAGGTTTTAGGCGACAGTGTGGGAACCAAGAAGCTGGTTCCTAATCTTGGTACTTATTGCCCATTTGCACGAGGAACCAAGATTGGGAACCAGCTTCTTGGTTCCTTCTGGTTCGTCAGTGAACCAGAAAGCCTCTTGAACGTCCTAATGAGCAGCGTGGACTAAGCAGGTTAGCCCAAAAGCGCGAAGACGCGGTACATGGTTGAGGAAGTATACATCACTACGCTACTGTTGTAATTCACGGAAGCATGCCTTGCCGTGATTTTAGCAGGAGGTAATAGAGGTAATCTAGGAACAACTGAACGGATTCCTATCAGCCTGGCACTCCTTCATGTTCTTTGGTTCACTTTGGCTATTGCCCTTTGTCAGTTCATCATTTTGCGTCGG